AGGTCTGTTCACAAATCAGAAACTAAGGCATACTGAGTTCTATAGTACTCGAACAATATCAAAATACACATGACATATTATATAAATTTTGTAAAGTATAATGAATATTATAATGTTCATTTTGATTTAATAATAAACTGAATACCTACCTAATAGGTAGATATTAAGTCATTTTTTAATGTGATATAAAAATTCAGTCATCTTTGATTTTCTTTGTAGAAATAAGACGTCATCGAATCTTTGATATTATTAATGCTCTTGCAAGTGTTGAAACAATGAAGTGTATCGTGAAAAATCAATGTCAATGGTATGGACTTGAAAATTTACTTCATACACTATCGAAACTAAAGGTATATTCGTGTCATTTCTCTTTCAAATTTTATTAGTTAATATTTCTCCCCATTTGACATTAGACCATGAAAGTGATTTTGTCGAATTTGCCCGTTCAAGACGAGAACGAATTGATCAATTTATGCTAGCAAAACAATGAAATAAGCGTACATTATAATTATTTACTCATCGACAGAGTATTAAACGTTGTCTTCTTGTTTAGATCAAGGGGCTCAGAATGATACATTAACATGTATTCAAATTGTATCCATCGGCAAAAATATGCCATCAACTGAAAGTGATGAAGGTAGATGAGCTTAGATTAATTAATACGGCTGTTTTGAACCCTTTCATTTGGATATTTCGACCTGTTTATTTAGTCATTTTCAACATACGAACAACGAAAAACAGCAACATGACCTATACATGGTGCTCTTTGTTTTCTCTGATATGGATTGAAAGCATGTGATACATTCCAAAGATCGAAAGAAGAAAAACACAGAAAAGGAAGATCCTCACCCATTTTTTATCTCAAATCTATTCTGTATTAAGTCGTGTCAGATAAATGGGTGAGGATCTTCCTTTTCTGTGTTTTTCTTCTTCCGATCTCTGGAATGTATCACATGCTTTCAGTCCATATCAGAGGAAACAAAGAGCACCATGTATAAGTCATGTTGCTGTTTTCTATTGTTCGTATGTTGAAAATGACCAAATAAACAGGTGGTTGTCAGTAGTGGTATGTTTTTCTTTTGTTTAAAAATGTTGAGTGTTTCTCATAGAAATACCGTATCGATAACTAGAATAACTAATCCAGTGACTGTAGTTTCTTTTTGACAACTATCTAAAGTCATTAGAGTACACAGTTGCTTGACAGTCTTGGAAATAGAAGAAACATCGACTTTGTTGACCCTTTAGATCTAACAGTTTTTATTTTAAGACTATTAATTACTTTAGAAATTATCAACTTATCATTTTACCATTTATGACAATAAAAATCCTGCCGTACATTAGCCTTTATCTGTGTCTAAGCCAGTTTATCCAAAGAGCATATGAGTCAGGAAATATGCGAAAGCTTAAATAGATTATACTAGATTTTTTTGTAAGTAAAGCATTTTTGTGTATTCGGTTGTAATCCACATGATTTATACGATATCAATATTGATTTACTCACTTATCAAATTCGTTTAGTGTTATCATCGATTATTAATACAAATGATGTTCCAGGTTCTTATTGAAAAACGAGAAATTTTAACTAATTTACAACCTTCACCACAGCAACTGTATCAAACTCGACACTGTCATCCTTATTATTCATGGTTAATCGGTTTGTATTCACAACATATCTTAGATGAAGACCACCATTGTTCAGTAGAATATGCGACGTATGCAATAGATAGATAATGCTGAGGAAATTTCAATTGAAGAATTTGAAATAGAATCAATTACAAAGGTACGAAGAATATTTATTACCAAGTATACATACGTTTATTGTGAGCAAAATCGAACATAATCAGGAATTTTCATTTTTATTTTAGTTTGTCATGTTTTTTATCCAAAGTAGAAAACAAACGATTTTTTCCGAATCGTTTAATGCGAATCGCATTTTTCTCTATTGGTAATTTATCGCTTTTAACAAGTAAGAAAAAGATGTGATTCCATTGTCAAAAAATTGTGAGCGCTTGGAAGTAATACCAAAGTACGCTGTGCAGTAGTCCAATATAAGACAATTGGGTTTTTGATGGTTTAAAGTTGTAAAATCATAAACTCTTTAAACGCATGTTCTCTGTGCCAAGGGGTAAAAAGCACATTCCGGAATGGCAGAATGTCGCCTTAGAATGGCAGAGTGGTATTCTAGAATAAGAGAAAGTTTTTTGTTTTTGTTCTAAATACGAGCAAAAAATTTGAGTCTGTAACGAAATAAAGGTGTCAGAAGGACCAGAATTTATTTTATTTATTTGCTACTATGCCGTATGTCAAAAGATGTGATTTGCCGTTAGAAAAAGCAATGACGCCTAAATAATTATTTTCCTTGTACACGTAAAAGCCTGTCAAAAGATAGTTTATTTTTTGCCCGTATCAACGAAATCGCGGTATTTTTAACAATTAATTGCGATTAATTGACGATTCCGATGAAAAAACGGAATGGTAGAATGGCATTCTAGAATAAAGGTATTTCGGAATGGGTATACTCGCCTTGTGGTGCTTTTCCCCCCTTGCTCTCTGCCCTTTATTGAGTAATTTGTTCACTTTTTCATCACTTGTGATTAGTCTTTTACTCTTAACTAGTCCTTTGTTGATGTTGAAATCGAAAAGATGCAACGAAATTCTCTTGGTTTATTGTTTCAGTTCTCAAATTGAACCGGTTTTTTGTTTACTATTTTTAGTGTAGCTCTTTTTAACTAGGTTCGATTAGTATTTACGTTTCTCGTGCCTTTGCTTTTTTCATTTGTTCTTACGTGTGAACCAATAATCTAATCATATGTTTCAGTTTTTTCATTGTTCTTTGACGTTCTTTTCCTTTCTTGCTGACTAAATAGTTGTTTACTTCACTTCTTTTTAAGGATAAAAAATTGTCAAAAATAATTTATTAATGTTTTGTCTTGAGCTTACCTTTTGCATTTTATTCAGTTGGAACGGAAAGCTCTTTCAAGCATGTTGAATGAAACAATGTGAATCATCAGCTCTAATCTGAGATAAAATAACATTAACTGGTATCCTTCATGGAATAAACGAATCTTTTTTTTGTAGCTAATGTGTTTTAATACTGAAATTTATTTCAATGAGAGCTTTTGAATCAACAGATTCATCTTTAGTGAAAAATTTCATATTCTAACAAAATTGACAACTTTTTCTTCACATATGTAGAAGTTTTTTCATCGAAGATGAATCTGTCGATTTGAAAGCTCTCGTTGAACTAAATTTCAATATCAGAACACATTAGCTGCAAAAATATGAATATATTTATTCTACAAGTCATGCTACTATCATTTACACTAGTCTTTTATTCTCAATGGCAATACTATCAATCATCACCATGTACTTGACAAATAATTCAGTTTTTAAGACGTTCGATTATGCATGTTTTGATTCATTTTTTTTTGTGTCTCACTACCTACGATCAATGATGCATATGCCATATGTCACGGAAAGAGTCTATTTTATTCTCACCAAAAGAATTTGATAGAATAATTATGTGACATTTGATGTAATATATTAACTTTTGTAGAATATACACAAAAAACAAAATCTTGTTATAGTATTCTAAACTGAAACTATCAAAAAACAACAACAACAAGAATTTTGGATAAATAAAGAATTCGGACATATGAACTTTGTTTCACAATTATTCACTGTGACTTTATAGTGTATCAACCAATGTCAGTTATGTTTTGTTGCTTAGTTGTTGAATATATGATGTTTGCTCAAAAATAATTACATAAGTTCAGCCTTGATGTCAGTTTTTTGTTCTATAGTATTATCATCATCATCATCATCATTTTTTTCGTTCTGCTCTTTAGTTGTTAATGAACAGAAAAATATTTTCTTATATTTTTTTATTTATTTTTTATTTTTATCGTCACCTTTTTATCGCCCGTTATTCTTCTTGTTAGCTGATAGGTGGTACTAGGAAAAAAGAGAAAAATATTTTTTTGTGTATGTTATCAGCCATATGTACCACTTTTTCTCTATCTATTCGAGATGATATAATCATTATGTATATATATATCTATATATATATCTATGTAATGTACATAGCCATTAGAGTATAGACGGAAGAAGAAAAAATCAGATATTGCGGTTAAAACGAATAACTCTGTTTTTTTGTTGTTCACCACTGTTTGTCGACTAGTAGAATAAACAATTTTTACAATAGATTGGGTAAGAGAGGGGAGAATGATTGGTTTTGATAATGTGGTGACGATGATTGATAGATAATTTATAAAGGTAGATAAAAATAAGATAAGAGTACACGTGTTGACAATGACAAAGAAAAAAGGGAAAAAAAATCATCATCATCAAAACAAATTTTAGAATGGTTTGTCTACTCATTAATAGAATTCTAATAGAAGATTTTCCATCGTCCTACTTTAATAGATGAGAGAAATGTTTCTAATATTTTGTTTGGATATTAATGTTTATGTGTATATTCTAGTGTATGTATAAAATAATTGTTTTTTTGCTTGATAAAAATTGTCATTGTCATTGATACGCGTTAATCAGAGAGGAATATATGGATAACGAGTAATTATGATTAGTTTTTTATTTGTATATTCATCCACAGAATTATTTGCGGTTTTTGTTTTTTTTCTGTTACAAAATAACATTAACACGTTTTATGCGTATAAACTAAGACAGAAGTGAAAGGCTGACTTTATAATGATAGATTAATTAGTGACACTTTTTACTTTGAATCATTTCAGCCCTCAGAATTTGGTAAAGTATTCTTTAATACGATAAACATGTTTGTTGTGAACTCCTATATCTTCGATTAAAGAGAAGTTGAACTTTATACTCGAAATTCCTTGATTTTGGCCATTTTTTTTAACATTCTCCTCTGGGGGTTACATCGTCTTAAACTATTCAACAATTTTTGAAGAGTTTCATCATTTTAGCCTCATAAAGTGCTGCCCTGACAAGTTTTCTTTCTTTTATCTCTATCAGTAGATAGAATGAGTTCTTCACTAACTCTAATTTGTATTCAAACACATTTAACTCAATATCATTATCAATCTTATTCTATTTTAAAAAAACATTTATTAAAACGTATTTATCAAACTCTTCCATCATCATCAGTTCATCAACGTGCTCTACAACCAACTCTTGTAGTATTTCCAGAATGTATTGGTTCATGGTTTTATTTAATGCATGTTCCAATGCCACATTTCTTAAAAAATTTCTTTTTCAATTTTATTCCTGGTAAAAGTTTAATTCGTCAACATTTATTTAGTAAACATACTCTATTTATTATCTATACATTAATTATTAATTTATATTCATTTTGTAAACAATTGTGGCACAATTATTCTCAAAATCGTACATGGTCTGGTCTATTTACACGATCATTTTTTCGTCTATTTTCAAGAAAAACATGTGAAACATATTTAAAATTATTTTCAGAATTAGCTAAAGAAACAAATTGTACAATTGTAGCTGGATCATTATATACAGAACGATTAGAATTAATATTAAATCAAAATAAACATTATAATATTCATTATACTTCAGAAGGTTTATATAATATGTCATGTGTATTTGAACCAATAAATGGAAATGTATGTCTTATTCAAGGTAAACAATATCCCGTTGCTGATGAAATAAAATTTATTGATCGTTATCTACCATCATCATCTATTTATTCTATTCCTTATACAAATATTAATATTGGTATCATTATTTGTGCTGATAGTTGGTTTCCACAATTTTATGAAAAATTTATTGATTTTAATAATAATCAAAAAAAATTTTTATTTATTATTGTTGCATTAAATATGATTGATAAAAATAAAAATGAATGGATTTATCCTTGGTCAGGTTATTCATATTTTTCTACACCAAATGATGTTAATATAAAACATATTCAAAATTTAACATTAGAACAAGCGTGGTATACATATGCAATTAAACGAGCTTATAATCATTTAGATAAATATTTTAAAAATGATTTTGGTGTATGTTGTTGTCATGGTATAATGTCAATTATGAATGATTTACAAGCGAATGGAGCGAGTACAATACTTTTAAAGAAAAATGTTCAAATGATTCAAGAAGCTAAAACATATAAAAATTATACAATATTAACATGTGATATTTAGAAATACTTTCATACTATTCTGTTGCTAATAGTTGAAGATGGATACAAAAAAAAAAGAAGAATAGTAGACAGTTCTATTGACGAATTTTGCTTTGCTTTTTATAAGTTTTTTTAATTTTTCTTTTAATGATATAACTTGAAATGATATTTGTTAGATAAATGAAATGATTTTTTAATTTCTTTTTTACTTCTAGATGATTAGATAGCACTGCTGCTTGCTCTTTCTCTCTTTTCACATGATTAAATAATTAGAATAAAATAAGTCATAATGAATAAAGAACTGTTAATAGATGCTGGTCTACGATTATCTCGTTTACGGATGTATCCATATTTTGATATATGCCATTATTTAATAACATCAACAATGGTTAGAGATGATATTTTATTACATCAAACAAGTATGTCACAACAAGTATCATTTTTTAACGTTTTTTTTGTTGTTGTTTTTTTTCTCTAGAAAATACTGATTTTTATTGTGATAAATTTATATTTAAAAATAAGATGAAATTAACAGATCTTTTCATTTTTGTTTTAGCTACTCCAAATTTTTCTCGTCGTCATCCTTTATCTTGTTGGCTATCATCTATGCTATTATGTTTTGCTGGTTCTATAATGTCAAATTTTTTACTTGGTGAATCTCCCATTAAAGATTTTCAACAACATCAACATTTATTATTAGCTTCAATATGTTGGTAAGAAATTAAATCAAATATCTATAAAAACATATACTTTTTATTGTTTAAATTTTTAGGTATCTGGTATTTTATTCTCCGTTTGATCTGATATATAAATTATTAAAATTTATGCCAATTAAATTATTTGTAGGAATTATGAAAGAAATTCAACGAACAAAAAAAATCTATGATGGTGTACACCACACGATGCACATTTATCCAGATGCATACATCATTATTGTTATTATTGGAACAGTTAAAGGTTTGTTTGTTTTTCATTATTAAAAATTGTAATTTATCATGTGAACGAGTTTATTTATAATGTCATTGTCTTTCTTTCATTTTTTCTTGACTCTATTCAATTCTTCTACGTTAACAAGAAACTAGCGTCATCTCGTCTCATCCATAAACAAACGTTTTATGTATTCTTACCAAATGGTTGCTAGTATTAGATCGATAATAATGTATTTTTTTTATTTTTATTTTTTATTTTGTTAGGTTGTGCTGGTTCAGTAATGGCATCAGTAGATCGTTTTGTTCGAGGTGTTTGGCTACCAAATCAACATGAATTTTTATATCCAACTTTGTAAGTATGAAAACATAATGATTAATGTTTTTAAACATCAATATGAAAATGAATAAAGTAGAATTCTATCATTTATTAATATAAGTAGTAGACACAATAATGTTCATCAATGTTTTATTTATATTTGTTGTTTTTTTTTGTAATATATTTAGTGCAACAAAAGCATGCATGATATCAGCGATTATATTTACAATGGAACATTATTCATTAATTAAATTTGATCGTGAATTAATTTATTTATGCGTTGCTAGTGCATTTATTTATGTTAAAATTATTTCTGTTTTCTTCAAACAATATGATCCATTGATGCCATTTGAAAATCTATCTTGTGGATTATTATTCAATAGTTGGGTCGATGCTGTGGTATGTATAAATATTTTTTTCTAATAATAAAAAATTCTATTCTTATATTCTTTAACTGTTTTTAGTCTGATGCATTTCATCGTACACAAGCTGCAACAACATCAGGTGCCTCATCTTTAGCTTCGTCAACAAGTTTAACTCCAATAGCTGGTTCCTCTTCCTCATCATCAACAGCTATTGTTAGTAAGAAAGATGGAATGAATGGAAGTATAATGGGAGATGGTGTACAACAAGCGAAAGGATTAGATTTAAAGAAACGAGAATAGATTAGAGAACCTCACCGATACTCTTTTATCCTTTTTTTTTTCTTTTGGTTGTTTGTTAATATTTAACTGTTTCTCTATTTTTCTTTTTCTTCTCTCATCACAATGCAAAGTCATTTTTGATACTTATTCTCTTTTTATTTTCAATAATTAATATTAGTATTATTGTCATACCTAGAATAAAGTATTACTTTTCTAAAATAGGTAATCTATAGACAATTTTACTATGTTCAAGAAAACAGAACAATTTTATTGTATCTATTTAATAAAGCATTGCTGGAAAGTCATAAAAATCATGAGAATAGCTGAGAAAAAGATATAATCTTGTAACTTTAGTATATTCCTTGAGAGAGTAACAACGTCTGTTTAAGTTAATGAAAGAATTTACTAACATCAACTATTTACATAAAATAGAAAAATAGAATTGACTATACGATAAAACTGTTCGATACTTCTTTATAGTTCTTTCACCACCGTTTTACCCACCCACTAAACTAATAATATGATTACATAAAATAATCAACCGTCAATTTCTCTCTGAATATCGGTGATATTTTTCTCACACCTAATATGAACAAATATGTGTTTGTTTTTGTCATTTTGTGTTGTTGTTGTTTTTTTTCGAGTTTTGATGTATTTTTATGTTTATTTCGCTTTTCTCCGTTAAACTTACCGTATTTATTTATTTTTAAATTAATTTACTTTTTGTTCATTTTGAACCATTTTTTTCTCTCACTAAATAAACAAATGTTCTATTCTACGTCCGCACATTTAGCCTCCACTCTATTGCTATTTCAAAATTTTGTAATCAAAATACTTTTTAATGAAAAATCTCGAAAAAATATTATTTTCTACGAAGAGGACAACAATTATGGAATATCAATCTACATACAGCTGACTCAGTTATCAATTTGATGGCAATTTTTGTGACAACTTTTGAAATAAAATATATTGGTGATTACGCGAAAGTTTATCATTTTTTTAAGATGTACGAATATAATATTAATCAATGTTGATAAACTGATCTGGTGAAGTAAAAGAAAGCAAACTAGAAATGGTACCAATGGATAATAGTGGTTAAATATTGTTTTTATAAGTGGGAGAAGACTATGACTCTTCCATAATCATCTCATTCGATTTTTTTGGATCATAGTAGATTGTATTCTACTGGTTACACGTTTTCAATTCAATTTAAAAGACGATCTGTCTCAAGGTCAAAAGAATTGATAATATTCATTAAAAAAAAATTTTATTTTTTAAACTTGTTGATAGAGCATACAAGGTTACACATAAAAGTACACTTTTTGGACTTCGAAATATTTTTTCACTACCTAATGAGTTAGTTAGTCACGAGAAGTCGTACAAAAATATGTGAACATTTTATTATTCTTTTCTTTTGTATTTTAATTTTTTTCATTTGTTGAACGGTGTCAATTTGATCTGGTAACGGCTTCATTACCGTCGAATGTTGATTTAGTTGATTAAGATTGCATGGTAAAACAGTCGCTTGATAAGAAACAATTGAATACAAAATTTCATTAAAACTATCATCACCATTTTGTTTTTTTTACTATTCTTTTCTGTTCAAATATAAAACACATCTTTCATTTTTAGAAACTTCATCGTTTTTGATAATATCATAGAATTTCGCCACCTAGAATTTTGCCAGTCGAAATTCCGAAGAATTTTTGCAGTATTGTCGAATATACAGAGCAAAGCCGCCAACAATTTTGACAATTGCCGAAAATCCAAGGAAATTTTGGCAGTAATTTTCAGTTGCACTTGAAGTAAAAGTTTTAATAGTATACACCGGGCATAATAATAAAATAATACACTGTGTTTTTATAATCTATAACCTGTGTATTTTTGTAATTTGTGTGATCTTTTACTTGTCACAGTTCAGTTGCTGTGAGATACAGAAACTCTATTTTTTCTTGATTGCTATGTGGGATCTGTATTTGAAAAAGAGAAAAGAAAGGTCTTATTTTGTTATTTTATTTTCATTTGTAAATTATTAGAAGAAGACTGCAGTTCATTGATTCTGTGTAGTATATTCATGTTGCTCGGCAAAATGTATGATATTGTAGAAATTCCACTTTTATTATATGAACTTCTTTTCCAATTTCTTGAAATTTAAAAATGTACCACCGCAAAAATGGATTTTCGACAATTGTCGAAATTATAAGGACTTAAGACAATAGTCGAAAATCAGATGGTCTTTCGACAATTAGTCGAAAATATTGAGTAAAAACGACAATGCCGAAATTCCGATAGCAAAATTCCAGCTGTCGATATTTCGTTTTACCTTTTTCATACTCTCTACTTTTCAGCAATGGAATGATCTATCTCTCTCAACGACATATGCAACCAATGTCAGTGTGTCTAAAATGCTATTCAAAAATCATTTTAAAATTTTTCTAATTTATGTCCTACTTCTTCATCTGATTCTTATATATCCATAAGGCAGATATGGGCGAGTCTGAGGGGCCACTGAGTCCTAGTCCTTAAAAGTTCAAGCCGAGTCCGAGTACTTAACATTAAGGATCGAGTCTGAGTCCCAAGTCCATTTCGAGACCGGTAATCTTTTAGATTCTTTTTTGACGAGTGTGATTTATTTCTCTTTTTTAATTTACTGAGCCCTGGATAGATATTTGATTTTTCGAAGATAAGGTTACTTTGTATGTCCGTCTCCCGAACAAAATTTTCAATTTCTTGTGAAACAGAAGGTGTTGTTAATTCGCTTTCATCCTTCTCTGTTTATTTGTGTTAAAAGTTGAATAGATCGATCTCGAAATACAAAAACTCAAGTTCGAGTCCGAGTCTTTCAAAAAAATCTCTAGTTCGGACTCGGACTAGCCCATGTCTGCCATAAGGATGATGTCATTTACTGTTTATCTCTTCCTTTTCGAAATGTATTCTTGTTTGTTTTTTTAATTTTTCTTTCTAACCGTTAATGAGGTAGACAGTGTCTCATATACAAGCGAAAGTTTCTTTTTTTGCTTGTTTAAACAAAATTAACAGCTTTTATCAAAATAAAGTCAATTCAAAATTCATTCTGATCATTATTATAACTCTCCTCCCTCTCTTTCAAAAAAGGTTTGATAATTTTAGTTTTATCGCCTAGTTTTAGGCTCATTTCTGAACATACAGTGAGATACTCTGTGATCATGAAACAGAATGTATTATGTAGAAAATTTTCTGTTTCATATCTGAATTTTTAGTCTTCTAACATTCAGTAGGTGAAGAAACAGTTTTGAAGTAAAGATTTTGACTTCTAACTTTTAACAATTGTCAAGCAAAAAGAAGAGATTAGAAAATGAATTTTTCACAATTCAAAAAGAACAGAATGAAAAGTTTTTTTTCAAAATTTAATAAGAAGTGAATAAAAAAAAATTTTTATGTTATATTTCATTTTCTATAAATATTATCAAATTTTTTTTTGACCCTGAGATGGATAGTCTCTTAAAAACAAGCATTAACATATACTATTCATAGAATTTGTAGTTTGATATATTATTAAAAGTGAAATATAGCTAATAGACATATCTATCACCTGTGAATAAGAGAAAAAAAAAGCAAAAAAGGACAATATTACACTGTTAAAAATTATGACGCTAAATAATGTATGAATATACGTAAATGTGCTACAAATATTCTATAACGAACAAAAAGTCATTAAACGTTTTTTCAAAAAAATATCTTTATGATAATAATGCAGTATTTAATGAGTGTTATATTGTCACACAATATTTCTTTGTAAAATGTTTAATGAGTTTTTATTCGTTATAAAATATTTGTAGCACATTTACACATATTCATAAATTATTTGGCGTCATCATTTTTAACATTAAATATACGTACTGTCTCTGGTGTTCATATATTTGCACATCTAATGATATATTTATGGTTGCAGTCGAACGTTTCGTGTTTTAACATAATAATTGTTAAAGTTGTAATTTATTCTTTTGTTAACCTATTATTAATAAACAAAATTGGAGTTTTTGAAGCATGATTGTTTATAGGAAAAAGAAAACTTAATATTTTGATGTCATCTAGTTCATTTCTTCATAATGAATATTGAAGTTCAATTCATCTTGTTGTTAGCACAAACTCCTGTATATTGACTATTTTTGAACTATATTAATTATTTAGATTTTGAATATTTTTTGTATTAACACTATTCTTCGGATTTTTAACATTAATTTGACATATAATCGATATGATACCGTTTCTTTAAAACACATTCATTACACTATAACTGTTTTATCTAAATAATTTGAATAAATAGAGAATTAGTATCTGTCGTTTCAAATCTATGAACAGTTTAATAGAAATTTGAGTTTATTTTAATCGTCTACTATAATGTTTGGAACATGTTCATGATAAGTACTGTAAATTGTAGACAAGTTTACTTATGATCTTGTAAGATTGAATAGCTAAATAGCTCAGAGATATTTGGTATAGTGTATATGAAGTGTACAATAGTCTCTAACATACAGTTTATCTAATGTTATTTATTCTCTTGTTTGTATTTTAGTTGACAAATTTATTTGTTCATTTATTGAAACATTTTGTACTTTATTAGTGATGAACAAAGTATTATTATAAGAAATTAATAAAAAAATTGGAATATATTGGAAGTGATATCTCAATATACAACTATACACAACAACATCGTCAACCATGAACAGTAATAATCCTAGATATAGTCATGTAGTGTGGTAGCAATGTAGAACACAGTTACAATGATACAAGTCAACATTAATCATAGAATAATTTTAGTATTTTGTAGAATATAACCATGTAGATAAAAGCACCGCACTTATATAAACTGTTGTTTAGAATGTCTGCTTCGAAAACTAGTTTTTTCTTTTATACTTTTGTTGTGATACATTATACTTTCTTTAGTGATAGGTAAATCTTCGTATTCATGCTAAATTTTATACTTTGAGGATGTTAGTAAAGGATGATATTATCCTAGCGACAACATAGTTATGTATTGATAGTGACTAGTAAATAACATATCAGAATGAACCGAAATCTTTTACCATTTTTCATGTATTTTGCACGTTTTCATGCTTTTAATCTTTAATTTTTCTCGATTATAACATCAACTTATAGAGGAGTATTTGATGTCGTTTTACATTACTATTAACTGTACTACTTATTTTATTTTAGATTTGTCATCATGTCTAAATGTTGTAATAATTGCCATTGCTGCGGTTACTACTGTGTACCACATTACAAACGACTGGTTAATAAGATATTTTCACAGAATCCACAAGTATATATTCTACTTTCTTTCTCTCTCTCTCTCTAATTTTTTTTTCTTCGTCTCATCGTTAACTATTGTTGTCGCTTTAGTTGGGTTTGGATAAAAGTAATCTAGAAAGTTTAACATTCTACGCAGTACGTAAACCAGAAAAATTAGATAAATCAGTTCGATATATGGCTGAAAAAGTGGAACGATATTTATCACATAGTAATAGACAGTATGTATATTTAATATAGTGTTTTGTTGTACGTATACAATGATGACTTTTGCTGTTTTCATGTTAGATATGTGATATTAGGTGTGAAAGCAATGACTGAAATAATGAAATCATGTTGTGAACAACTTAATTCTTTTGTTGATCATTATTTGGCTGCCTTAAGACTAGTTTTAGAAGAAAGAAATGATTTAGAATTAACAGAACAAGCTGTCTTATCGGTAGATTATTGTAAATATCAATATTAACTTGTATTCTAATATTATCTTATATACTTTTTAGTTTGAATCATTTTGTAAAATTCCAGAAGAAGCTCCAAGTTATCAACGAAATTATGATTTTTTTTTTGATCGATTTACAGAATTATGTCATAATAATAATGATAAAACTAGAACAAAGTAAATATCCATTTTAGTTTATTATTATTATTATTATCAATAAATGTAAAATTAGAATATTTATATCACTTATTTAAGATTTCGTTGTCTGGGTTTACGTGGTCATCATGCTCTTATTCTTAAAACAGCTAATGATGAATTACAAACTGATGTTTGGAAACATATGGATAAAATAGTACCATCAATTATTTATAATATGGATGTTAAAAATTTTAGGTAATAATGAATATATATCTATTTTAATAATATATTTTGTATGTTAATCAATATTATTTAGACCAGAAGATAATCTTAGTCAAAATCGTACAACGGATCAAATTGAATTAGTTGATAATGATGATCCATCCATTTTAGCCGAAAATGTTCTAAAAGATTTATTTGATCGAGCACATTTAAACAATATTAAGGCATGTGTGCAACCTATTCTCATGTACGTGTTGACTAAACTCTCACATACGTATCAACCTTTTATTTATAGTCATTTAGATAACCACATGAAATGGATTCCTGTAGATTTTCCAAAATATATTTTTTCCAAAATAATGAGAACAATTAAAGTAAGAATTATCTCTTTCATACTAAAGAATTGATAATATCTAATATTAATTATTTATTAGCATCATAATGGCTATTTGGTAATCGAATTATTACTCGCTCACTTAGAAACACATCTTGAACGTCAAGAAACAGCTGATATTAAATCAAGTATTATGAATGTTATTCAAGATTGTATGATATTTACTGCTGAGAGTACAGGAGCCGGTAATTAATCGCTAGTGTTATCTCTATAACATCGTTGAAAATGATCATTTTTTTTTGTTTCTTTTTTAAATTTTATTGTAGGTTCTACGATGTTTACTGGTATCCAACGTTTATTAAATTTTTTAAAGAAATCATTTGAAATAGAACGTGAACATGGCTCACACGCTATCAGTGAAGAACAAAAATTTCAGACAGCTATCATCAATGGTATTGGTGATTTTACTCAAAAGTTACCAGATTTTCAAATGATAGAAGTAATGCAATTTATTATTACGTCACTACCAAATTTCGATCAAGAAAGACACGAAACACCAGATTCAAGGTAAATCACATTTGTATGTGTGTGTGTGTATTAGATAACAAAAGCTGTATGTTTCTGTTTGATTTTTTTTCTAGAGCTGCGAATCTCAAATTACAATTGCTGCTACTGAAGACTGTTCAGAAGGTAAAAAGGTTATTTTGTGATTAAATTGAACGTTCTGCTATAACACACTATTAAATTCAGCGATCAGAATTGAGAAAAAGGCGATCAAAAGAAGTGCATATTCATTACATGCAATTTTTTATATCAATTGTATCTTTTCATTATTAATCACCGCAATGACTTAATCTTTTCTATCCACTTAGTTCTAAAAACTATTGATTATCTAATGGTAAGAAACTGTTGATATTAATTGTGGTAGAAGTTGAAAAACTTTACTGTAGTGTGACGAATAGAAAATTTGTCGGAATACGAACTTCAGAACTAGAAAACTTTGTTTTTTGATTGGGACTTTGAGCTAAGTTATCTTTTTGGATAACAAAATTCGTTCATCTAATTTTTTCTCTCCATACAATGGTTAAACGAGAGTGTGGCAGTAATAATAAGTATTACATGTAATCAAAATAAACTGAATGATAAAACTGTGATATTATGCATTATTTCTCAGGATTGGTAATTCAAATCAAAGTTTAGAACACATCATTCTTAAAGTCAATTAACGAGCAAGGTGATCTTTCGTGTTTTGCTCAAAATATGCTAACAATAATTTTTTATATTAATTACAAATCTGATGTTTTTTTTTTTCTATGAATCCTCCTTCTATGAGAAGACATGCTGTACAGGAAAACATTCAGACGGACTTTTAGTAAAAAATCGAAAGTATACTATTTTCAAATTCAAATAGGGACAAATAGACTTCAGCATCTGAATTCTAAAAAGTGTTGCTTCGGTAGGATCATGGGAAAACACTTAGCTAAAAATTAGCCTGAAAGCAGTAAAAATTCTTTTAAAGATAAACTCACCGTTGTTATAATTAAAAATGATATAGATTACGAATTTAGACTAGGTCCACTAGTGAAACAGTTTTTTGTTTTGGATGCCAGTCTTCTGAAAAATAAAATTGTTTTACAAATCTTCTAGTATAATGAGTGTTCCAAATTTCGCCAAGCTTCAAACTGGGTGAAATTTTGCCAGAATATTCTTGTGTCGCAGTTCCGCAAAAAAAAAAATGACTTCCCATTTCTTTGCTAAAGGCAGCACGTATATACGTCAAAATAATAATCCACAATGATCTTAACACTTCCACTGCCGCATACGTCGTATGGCATATTCATAAATGTTTGTTGCTGTTGCCAAATACGTCGTTCGACGTATTTATATTGGAAGCGAGACAGGGTACATATGCAGAAAAATGCCTGGCGCTGAGGATAAATTCCTTATTTGAAACGCCCGATAGTGAAAGTGTTAATCTATTCTAAAGAAAATTTGAAAAAACATCCAAAAACCCTTGTTTTTCCAGAAATCTTTTTAAAAACCGAGGAATGGAATTTTTTCGACTTCTCCATGAGACAGAGCATAGCCAAAAATCTATAAAAAAGTACTTTTTACAGCTAACTAATGGTTTTAACCATTTTATAACATATGTCGTCTTGCTATGCGAAAAATACCCATTTGTACGCATGGGCTTTTACTTTATAGAATCATCATGATCTTTCATCTAGAGTTATGGTCATACTGCTAGATTGTAGAACACATCGAGGTAACCAAGATGAAAAGCTTTGTGGGACTAACGAATCAGTTTCCTTAGAGTTATAAAACGCCTTTCGTCTCATCGAAAGAGAATCTATGGAAATAAACATAAAGGGTCGGCCAGAATTACTGAAACGAATTGACTACTACTCACTACTGGAACGTTTCAGTAGTTCTGACCCACCCTTTATATCAGACTCGTGATCAGCATCGAAAATTACTTGCACTAAAATATATTTAGAGAGAACAGTCAGATATCACCTGGTGAGATTTCCTCTCACTTATACTGAAGGTTTATGAGATCCACGTCTAAAACGTTATCGAAATCATCCAAAATAAGAACTGTGTTGAGTTTACAGATTGTTGTTTTTTTCTAAATTATAAAAGATTGCAGAATTCTGAATGTGTTTTACAGATCGTTTTGAAAACAAAGACACATTTAGAAAGTTTATAAAAATGTCATTTATAACATGTACAGTTCTTCTCATTTGTTTATTAATATCGTAAACGAGAGTTGAGAGAATTGCCTCTTCATGTATATGAATGATTCTGGTGATTTTTGTACCATTCGACATTAGCTAATGGACCTGCATGGTTCTTCGTTAATACTAAATCAAACTTTTGGGGTGGAACAAAACTTTTTTTGCTTTTTGTGTAGTATTTTATCTGCTTTGTCGATCTGCAATCTTGGTTTTACCTAATCTTTTTTAATTTTCTAGTTTCTGTGAAAACTTCGATGGAATTTTTTGTGGTCCTCGAAAAGTGAGAAAACGTGCCTCACCCACTCTTGAGTCAACGACTCAGTTAGCAAGTAGTCAATCACGCATTTTTTTGCTCCAAGTTATGCAGAATCATGTACTCTATCTATTGGTAAAAACCACATTTCTCTGGACTCTTCCATCTTTGTATGAGCGATAATTTATTGGCCAGGCCTATCGTGGAACACTCAATTGTCCCACCTCCATTTGAGCTTCTCCTGAGCAAAGTACACGAACTAGAGACTTTATTCTTTTACTCTGTGTGTGAAATGGCTAACCATTCAATATCTAAAAATTGGAAGGTTATCGGTTACTTGCCAGGAGAGAAAATTCAAAAATACATCATATTGTCCCACCCCCCCCCAAACACATCTCTGGAATCGTAACAGAAAGCCCATAAAGCCCCAAATTTTCCGATTATACGTATTTTGACATCCTGAATCGAATGACTGGCTCAGTTTTTGGAAAATCGCTTCAACAAAGGATTTCTAGAAAACTCGGATTCCCAATAATTCAACCTTAAAACTTGTTGAAAATAATTTGTTAAGCATGCCAGTTGATACAGCATATATGAAAACCCATGTTTCAATACATTTTAAAGGTTAGTTATGATTTTTTTAGTTGAAAAGCAGAAAAAATCGCATTTTCGATCTAGAGTCAAAAAGTGAGCAATCAAAATCTCACCAGATAAGGACCTGATAGTTTGTGAATAGGGTTTTCTATAGACTGTAAATAAATAAATTATCAGAATCAGTCATATATATATATTTATTTATTTATGATTTACAATCTGATGAAATTTTCATATATACTCCTCGCTTGGATAATTCAATTTATTTTAGCTATGACGAGGATTCAGAAAAAAAAAGAATCAAAAACATTCGATAAATTTATTGCTGATTATTTAGCTAGACTATCTCTTTAATCGATGTTATTACCATGTTTTCTCTTGCTTTTATCTCTCGCGTAATTATTTTATTCCTGTACATTTTTAATTAAGTTTTTATTTGCATCTTCATTTCTAATGGGTTGAACACACACTATTATTATTCTATATTTTGTTTTAGGTTGCTGCCACATATCATTTAACTCATCGTCTCGAAACATCAATTCAGACAACATTTCCACGCCAACTATTTGATCCTCTATTGAAAATGATGAATTCAACTGAGCCAGAAGTACGTTTAAATGTTATTGAAATATTACAATCATTTGTGGATAGAAGAAATTATTCGAATAAAATACGAAGGATACGGTAACTAAATAGACATTTTGTTTGAATACATGTGCCAAGTTTTATATTCTTTCATTTCTATTTAGATTGATCAGAAATATCTCACAATTAGAATTACCAACAGAAACAAAATCATATCGATTATTTGATCTTTCATTTATGAAGAAGGTCTATAAAAAATAACGTCTATTAAGTTTTCACTTCGTCAGAAATATAAAATTTTTATAGAATGTCGATATTGAGCTAAGCACATTATCAGATGGTTCAATGTGTCTACTATCAAAGTTTCTCGAAGGCCATTCAATAAGTTTTTCTCAAAGCCTCAAAAATCAGTTATTTTCCAATGAAAAAAACAAATTTAAAAAGACTTTAAAAAGGCTGTAGAGAAAATATTTCTGATCAAAATATGATGTTTCCTAGTTCTGAGTTATGTTTTAATGAACCGTTAGGAGAGTTTTGCTAGAAATCTTAAAATATACACAAGACACCGGTGCCACTGAACCTGGAAAGTGATATTAACCTTTGAAGTATTTCATATTACAGAAATTCACTGTCAAACCATGTGCTAGAGAACTTGGATTGTTCGTAAATTGAAACTAACACATATAGCTAGAGCATAATAGAGTCTGATTTTTGATATTCAGCTTAGTTTTATAGTTAGAGAAACATCCTTGGGCAAGTGAAAGAAACGTTCTCGAACATTTGACTGTTGACACTGTTTATTATTATATTAAAAATCGAGCTCTAATAGCCTCTATCCATATATGTTTTTGTCATTTTAAGATTATCTGGAGCTCTTCTCAATGTTTTGTTGTCAAGAAATCGTAAACCTACGTACAACCTCATTTTAACTTCTAATTGAGCGTCATCTTCGTAATGATAACAGATGGTGTCTCGGAAATTTTAGCGAAAATAGACACTGATTAGTTCAACATTGTATAAAGATTTCATTTAAATTGAACTTACGAACGAGGGAGTGGATGGAAAACTTAACACTTATAGACTGAATGATTTAATTTTTAGTTTGGTCCTCAATTTTTATCTCAATTATATAAGTGTATATTATACGAGAATAATAATGTCGATTTATTCCATGCCATTTATTGTCTAATCAATTTGATTACATTGGAAGCAGAAAATAAAGACGTATTCGTAGACTTTATACACTTTTGTTTGGAAGTACAGGTAAGATGACTGACTATTATTCTCCTAATTCTACTTTCGTCAAGTACACATCTCTACATTTTAGTCTACAGTAATAAAAATATCTGAAACATCATCAACAACCCAAGGCAGAAGATTATCAACATTCAATCAAAACTGTATTCATGCACTTATAGCCGCTTATTTTAATCTAATATCAAAATTAAATGATATTACACAATTTTATAATTATGTTGATGAAGTAAATTGATGAACATTACTATATAATTTCACATTTTGAATTAATAAATAATTTTTTATCACTATTTTCATATCGAATTTTAGAAAAGTATAACATTTCAATAGTCAACTGAAATTTGTTCTATTAAACAATTTATTCTCATCTTCTTGATCAAAAACAAATTATGATTCAATTTTTTATTTTTTTTATATTTTAATAAACTTAGCAGCAGATAAATAATTTTTGTTTTTTTTTTCTTTTATGTTTTAGGTTGTTCGTGCTCGTGAACATCGTGCTCCTTATCTATTACCACCTATGGCATTTAATTATAATGATACAACAAAATCTTTATCATCATTGTCTATTGGACAACAACGTTTAGTTTTTAAAGAATGTTATTTTCAACAAGATATTATCGTCTCAGCATTATACAATAATAATTATGATATATCACGATTTGAACGAGAATTTCATCCTGAACAAGGTAAGACTAGTATTGATATGAATTATGACTTTGAATATTGTTATTCATTGATGGCATACGTGATGATTTTCGATGTATTAATTGTGGTAATATACGAAACGTTTTACATCTTATTATTGCCCAAATATGTGAACGTAATTTTTTTTGTGTAATTAAATAACATAATGGTTTAATAGCATGTGTAAACAAATATAAATCATTTAATATAAGTAAAAGTATAGAAGGTGGTGATTGAGATTGTCGTCGAGATATTTCATGCATCCAATAGGGAACATAGAAGAGAATATAAAATAATAAGAGTAATAAGGTACTATTACCAAGTGTATGAATATCATCAGAAAATTCACTTAAATTAATATAACTTGAATAGTCTAATGGTGGTGAACGATTTGGTGGTGTTGTTTGTAATTGTGTAGAACGTGTATTATTTGATACATTCTAAAAATGAGAATAAAAAACAAAAATTTAATATAATTATTTTAATCTCTCATCTAATAATAATAATAATAATAATTTGTTCATTTAAATATTTTCAAATGATTAAAATTAATATATTTAATCTTACCTGCATTTGATAAACATTATCTAATGGTGATTGTTCACCATATTTTGGTAAATTTCTAACATTTTTTAATGTCCAATTTTTACTTGATAATTTAATTTTAATTAATAATAATAAATCAAATCCAGATATTACATATGTAGATAGAAAACATAACCAATTTAATGTTGCTTGAGTAGATTCTTGAATATAGACATATGTTTTTTTACATGATGAACGATCAATTTTTAAATTTTGTTGTTCATTTACTGTTATTGAAAATGTTCCTGCTACATACATACCAATAAGTGGTAAAGAAAGAATAATAAAGAAGAAACAAATACGTGAAATTGATGGTTGATGTTTTAATGATTTAAAACGTGTTTTAGAAAAATAAAAAAATGTGGTTATAATAAGTAAAGTAATAATAACATGTTCAATAACAGCAGATAATTTTTCAATAAATTTTGATGTATAACATAAAAAATCACATGGAAGACCAGTTGATAGATCAATTAAACGTAATGGTATTAAAAAATTACAAACAATTATATCATTGATAAGTAATGAGAAAATAAATGTATCAAATTTTGGTGTTTTAGTTGGTTGAAGATGACTTGCTGCTACAGTTGCAGCTGCTTGTTGTAAACTATTTAATGCAGTAATACTTGAATGTGCAATAAAAGGAGTAGTCACAGGAGTTGAACTTGATCCAGTAAGTTGATGTAAATGTTGATGTTGTTGATAATAGTATGATTTACGTTGAATTGCTAAGATTAAAAGCCAATTGAAGATGAATCCAAGTATTCCAATTACACTCACAATACTAATTTGCAATAATGTTAATAAATCATTCATTCTCACCTAAAAAATACATAAAACAATTGTATAAATTTACGAGTTTTTTTACAGTTTTTATTCAAATATCTTACTATTCAAAGAAAAAACATACTATTACCAGTGGTATATTGATATACTCGTGTGAAAAAAATAGACTACACTCCGATACATTTAGTGTTTATTTTAAATACTTCTATTTATGTAATAGAGACGAGCTTTCATAACATCGTGTCGATGAGAATAGCGAGAAGGAGTACAAGAGGTAAGAGTGAACTAACTTATAATATTTCTTGAGATGAACGCTATTTGTTTATGGTAAGATATTGATAAGGGACGGATCGTGCTCAGTTTGTGAACATTGTCAGTGTATCACTATTACCAACAAATATTTATTTGAAAAAATAAGATAAACCATTAAGAATTTTTAGTTGATTATTAAGAAACTTTGTAGAAAATCGTTAATCATTAATAATCTGAACTTTCAATGCTTTGTCTATGCTTCAAATTCTGAGATATTAGAGACTGGAACGAATCAGGTAAAATTATATTGAACAATATGTCCTTGTTGCTATATATGCATCAAGGAGAGTTATTAGTTTAGAAAAATGATGATTATGTAGAAAATCATCGATGATTATCAAATAATACTGCCTCTTCCGGCGAAAAAAATGAAAAATGAAAACTTTTTCTTTATAGAAATTAAAAGTCGTTTTCGATCACGTAAATATATCTTTTTTTTTTTTTTTTCTCATTAAAAATCTATTTTAACTTTTCTAAAACATCACTGATTAAAAACCACTTAATTTTGTGTTTGTGTGTGCATATGTGTGTATTAATTTACATCCGATTAATTCTTACCTATCATTAACACATTATTAAACACTCTTCGATGTCGTTCTATATTTGTAGAATGTTAATATGTTTCTTTTTTGTTGTTATTAGAGTGTTTTTGTAAATGTTTATACACTTTACTATTTATTCACGTTCTTCTACCTGTTTACGTTATTATATATTAATAATAATGATTACAATCTTTCATTCATTGTTGTTCTGAAATAGAAGAATGAAAGAAAATATTGAACGTTACTCTATTGTATATGATTAATGAACAACATTTGCTTATCTGTTTTCACATACACACACACACACACTCTTCTCTTCTCTTCTCTTTTCTTCTCTCCTTCTTCTACCTCTTTAATAATAATAATAATAATAATAATAATAATAATAATATTTTGTTTTTGTTTTTTTCATAAGCAAACTCTTTTGTTTTAATCGAAAAACTAAATTCCCTAACACGTTTCCCTCTCATTTACGCTCTTATAATGCCTATTTCTTTATTTTCTTTCTCCTTTTTTCTTTCGATCTTGTGTTTCATTAGTAGAGAACTACATACAATAGTAGCAACTATCAGATAGACATAAAACACTCGAACGACGTTAGGGTTTTCCTTCTTTTTTTTTTTTTCTCTCTTTCGTTTGAGGTGGTCATAAAATGTATTTTACTTCATTTAATAAGTTGATAAAATGCCTGGAATGTTCATATATAAAGAAGAAACAAAAAAAAATAACTTTCATCTTCATTTTTTTTCATCTTCTCATACCCATCACCAGATAAAGGAAATTTACAAGATTTGACAAGAGAAATGGACAGAGAGAGAAAGCTTATCCTTATTATAAAGCACGTGAATAAGAATCAACTATAATAGGATTTTATATATTTAATCATATTTATTGTACAAGTACAAATTAACACCCAGATAATACCTTTTTAACGAAAAAAAAACCTATTGTTTATTTGAATTTTATAATAATAATAAAAAAGAGAAAAAAGGAATGAATGATTATATTAATTGGTGTTTTAACTAGTCAGTAAATGACATACATTTTGACTTTTACCCTACACAACACTTTTTTTTTTTCATCCTGTAGTTAGTTTATTTTGACATATCAGTTGGTCATTATCACTTTAAAGAAATAAACCATATTTCCGATTAATAAAAAAGAAAGATTTTATTACTTTTAATGACTTGAAATTAAAGAACTATTCTGTACTAAATCAGCTGTAAAATTCGAAAAAAATATAGAAATAATAGAATAAACATTTTAAATTTTTTGATTTTTTATTAAAATAAGAGAGTATGTTGACTTATTCTATTGGGAATTATTTTTTTCCGTAATTTCAAATTAAAAGGTTTATTTTTGTTATATATAACTTAAGTTATAATCAAATGAAAGTGGTTTTCAGACATGTTCGAGTGACGGATAAAATATGTCTCTAGAGCTTATTGTTTTTTTTACAACACTTTTCGACTTTCGTTAACTCCCCCCTCTAGAAAATTACACATACAAGAGATACAGTTATTCTACATACTGCTTAACTAGTTGTACTAGAAAAATTGCCATAGTTTGATTGTACACAGATACTTTTTTTCTTATAAATTTTTTCAAGATATGTCAGTAGAGATCTACTTTTTAGTCACATGTAGAAATAGTAAAAAACACGTAATGTATGAAGAAATTTTTATGCAGAACATGAAGTTAGAGTTAATATCTTTAAAAAAAAGTTAACTACGAAAAACGGTTTAAGAATTTGCAACTATACACCATCTAAGATTTTGGAGCATTTCTTTAAAAATAGTTTAACACTAGAATGCCCAGAAATTTTCATGACCTAGAACGTCCAAAGCGGTCATTTTGACCATTACTGTTTTAAAAATGATTCTGAATTAAAAAATGAATTAAAAATTCTGCAAAAAATAATTTTTGTGGGACAAATTAAAAGTTATGACATAATTTATTTTTAAATAAATTGTATGCAGTTTGTTTTATTAAGAATAAAAATCATAAAACGGTCAAAATGACCGCGCTACAGGCGTTCTAGTGTTAATAACTCTCCTAGATCCTTTTAAGTTCTGTATAGTTGAAAATTTCTAAATCCTGTCAAAGGTTCGAACAGACGGTTTAATAGCGTTTATGACTACCGATTTTTATGTAGATAATGTTTAAGATGATTCAGTTTGTAGGATTTTCATGTTGTCCTAAACTCGTCTAGGTTTTGAACAAGCGAGAGAAAACGTTAGAATTTAGGAAAATTTTTTCATCTGAATGCGAGGATAGAAAGCTTTTTATAATTTGAGACCAGCTTTACACATCTTTTTCGATTTTTTAGCAATCCGTTTCTTCAAAGAGTCGTTTGTGTTACAGCTTTGCTGTGATTTCTATACAATTTCTCCAAGAAAGGTCAAAGTCGAGCGGCTTTTGCTCGAATGGTGTATAAATAAAAATATGTTAGACAGTTGACCTAGAGTTTTTGAAGAAAGGGAATTTTTAAGAAGTATGGCGTCTTCAAAAATCATATAGGTCGGTGACAAAATAAACTGCGAGGCTCGTTCTTGTATGATTAAAACAAGCGAACTTCAAGCTTTAATTTGATCATAAGGAAGGCATATATCTTCTTGACTTTTCTAGTTATCTCTAAAGAATTCAACATTTGTTCCTGAGAATAAATCAAGTACTTAAATAAATACTAAAATACTTATGCGATCGAACTCCCCGCTGGCTAGGGATGTGTCGAATTCGAACGCAGGTCCGAGGTTCGACAGCGAACAATTCGAGTTCGAAGAAGTTTTATGCCGAACTATTGGACCTTCGAATTCGACTTTGAATTATTGTCAACGCAGAGTTAGCACCCAGGTTTCCTAGACACGGTTCTCAGAACATGCTTAAAAGTTTTTTTGATACTACAAGCCCTGAATGATTATAATATCTCAATGTATGTCCTTAATTCCATGCTGCGGAATGAATTACTGTTGCTAGCCATGTTACGTAGAGGAACGTTTAAAGTTCGGGTTCGAACATAATTCACGCTTGCTTCGTTTGAAGACGTTTGTTATTTCATTGTTTTTCGAGTTAAAGTGCGAAAAATGAAAGAAAAAACATTAATATGTACATAACTAGGATTTAAGAGAAAAAATAATAATTGTCTGATCATATGGTATATAGCATAAAAGTGTGCTTTCTTAACTATTTGATCTTGAACTCGAACTCGAATGCTCGAATATTTTCCGAGTTGAAGCCGAATCGAAATTGTTTAGAGGCAAACTTGAACGTCGAACTATAGTCGAACCAAAACTTCAAACATCGAACGTTCGGCTTCATAACATGCCTAGACATCTCCCATACCATATTTAAAAACAAACTATAGATTTATATATAATTCTACTATGGTTATGCACGAAGTCACATCTTTGTCGTCTTTTGGATTGTGTAAAAGTGTGTGGAAGTATCCACACTTAACTGATTATAATCTTTTAAATAAATTTTATTATAATTTTTAGAGTCTGATTCACGATCGCTTGCTGATGGTACGGATTCATTTATTAGTGAAGGTGACACAACAACACCCGTATGCATTTGAACATTTTCTTAAAAACATCATATCTGATTTATTCCTATTTTAGGGTGAAATTATTGAGGACATATCATTTCAGACAGTACGAGATGTTCTTCGTACGTACAATTATAGTCTCATATATGCATATATATATATATATATAAAGATATCAAACATCTTATTTTTCGTATAGATGCAAGTGAATCAAATCGAACAATAGTTGAACAGAAAAAACTTTTAATTGAAGATTTTAGAACAAGACCATTTGAAGAATTAAAGTCAAAAGTCAGCGAAAAGGTAAGAGATTACTGTGATCCTTTCTAAATTTAATTATTATAATTAAAATATAGTATCATGTTTTCTGTCAGATGAGTCAGATGAGTGTAGATAAACATATCAATGTAACAAATATAACAAAAATAATCATCAAACAGTTTTCATTAATGACGTAGAACAAGTCTAATTGTAACGAATAAAATTAAAAATATTTATCTTCTTAGCTTTCATGATTAACATGTTGAAATTGTAAATATGCTAATATAGCACACTGTTTTTCGTTTCTTTTAGCAACGTCTTGCTGATGAGCGTCTTACTGATCATTTGATGAGTGTATTATGTTTATCTAAAGATAGTAATGAATCGACACCAAAAATTGAAAAACAACCATTGCAATTTAGAACGTCAGAATTTCAATATCCTGAATTATTTACTTATTAATTATATTCAATTATTTTTCAATATTTGTTTTTCTATTTTTAGTATATCTACTGGTGCAAATTGAATAAAAAAATTCATTCCGTTTCTTCTTTGTTTGCTTGTTTGTTCACCTCATTTGATTACAGAACTACGCTAGTACGAAGATTAAGAATTCACAAAAGAGACATGTTAACCTAGCCATATTGACTAAGTCTATGCAATAGCCATATCGATATAAGCACCTGCTAAGCGCATGAACAACTAATCTCCATTATCTCATCTACTGAGTGGTTCAGATCAATTGTTGTAGTCATTGTCACGCTGTGAATAAGTATATAATGGCACAACAGATGGTAACGGTCATGTACAGGGTGTTACATAACCTTTTTCTCCCCCCCTACACGACCTAAAGGACAGATAATATCAGAAAGTATTTATACCAGGTTAAAGCCCATCAAAAACTAGATTTATGAGTGTAATTGATATTCCGTATGATGTTTATTGGCTGTAGAATTATGGAAGTTTCTATCGAGTGCGTCATAATGAATGAGCCTCTTAGTATTTTCTATTTTTCTCGTGTTCCTTTAGGATCCTAATATTAGTGTTTTTTTTAAAAGATGCGCCACGAAATACTCTACAAAGCCATACCTAAACATTAGTTTTAGAACTTCAATCAAGAGAACTACGTAAATTATACGAAAGG